CGCCGGGCGCCCAGCCGACCCCGCCGCTCGCGCCCCGGCCCGCCCTTTCCGCCGCGCGGCCGCTTATATGGGCCGCGCCCGCCGCGCCCCGCCCACCGCTGCCGCGCGGCCCCGCCTCTTTCCGGGGCCCGGGCCAGCCGCGTGTCCATTCCCCGCCCAGCCGGGGCTGCGGTCGGACCCGAGGGGGCGCTTTCTCCCCGAAGTTGCGCACGAGGAGGGCGCCCGTGGGCCCGCAGGGACGCGGAACGCTGCTGGGCACGGAGCCGCGCAGCCCTGCCCGACCTTGCTGATTGCGGGCGGCGCCGATTGGCTGCGCGACCTTGACCAGGTGATGTCTATCACTCCAAAAGGGCAGCGCGCACTTGGAGAAATTAACAAATCAGCGGACCTGGGGGCTCTGAGCTGAGGTGGGCACTCTAAAAACGCAGGGGCGCCGTCGCCCTTCGGAGAGCATCCTTCCCTGTACAAATCTCCCTTCACATCTTTCACTGTACGATAGGGGAAAATCTCAGTTTCCTCACGAATCACTCATCCTGAAGAGCAAAATGTCCCAAATCAGCATTGCCATAAAAACGGAGTAGGTGACTCTGCAACCTTCAATAATAGGATTGTGTTTATTTAAGCTGTGTTATTTGTTGATGCTAAACAGATTAATTGGCACGAAAAGAAAAGCTGGTAAAATCTTTATGTTACATAAAATTAAGAGAAAAGCCTAGAAATATGTTAAGTTTCTTAAGAAAAGGATGGTGTTTCTCCTATCAAATAAAAAACACACGAACACAGCAATAACTTGCCCCCAATGTGTGTCCAGCTCTTAACACCCAATGAGATTTTTTAGGTCCTGGCCCTGACGCTTCGATAAAAATTATTTAGACTAGCAAGAGAACAGAAGAAACTCAGAAGGATAATCAAGGGAACAAAGGCCTGGTTTTAAAAGTCTTGACCTAGCTCACACAAGAATTATCTTAATTTTAACATTTCTTGATACAATATTTCGTCATCTCATTATCTGTGTCCTTTTGAGTTCCTGTTGATATAATGTACCTTAATGTTGCATTTTAGCTTTGAATGTCTGAATCTCATATGTGTTCTTGAGGGTCAGAGAAATTTTGGATTGTCCCTTTGTCTCATTGTTTTATAACCAAAGAACAAGAGAAAGAACAGAAGCTGCTGAACATCAGGAGAGAAAGGCTGTGCCTTCACAGTAAGAACAGAAAAAATGGTGGACATAATAAGAAAAACTGTGAAGGACGTACTCTGAAAGGAACAAATTGACACAAAGTTACAATACAGGTTATGCCTGTTGGAGCCTGAGCTAATAATGAACCTGAAAATGGTATTTCAGTCAGATTAATTATGAGATGTTTCTCTTCTAATTGACCAAACAAAAACTATCCTTTGGGTTATACAGATCTGGCTATAATATATCTATATAGTCTACTAAATGGAATAATTCTGAATAAATCTGTGAAAATGAATCAGGAAATAATTCAAAAGCAAAAGTAATTAAATTTCACATCCAGTAAAGTACAGTCTGTTTAAATGTATCATAGCATTTGTAGGAAAACGTACCACAATAATGTTACAGAAATGTCTTCAGAAAAAATTAAAAAGGCAATTTAGAAAAAAGATTTCTGAACCAGGCAAGGTGGCTGACACCTGTAATCCTAGCACTCTGGGGGGCTGAGGCAGGAGGATCCCTTGAGCTTGGGATCAGCCAAACAAGAGTGAGACCCCGCCTGTACTAAAAATAGAAAAATTAGGCTCTGCACCTGTGGCTCAAGTGGCAAAGGCGCCAGCCACATACACCTAAGGTGGCAGGTTCGAATCCAGCCCAGCCCCGCCAAAAACAACAATGACAGCTGCAACCAAAAAATAGCCAGGTGTTGTGGTGGGCACCTGTGGTCCCAGCTACTTGGGAGCCTGAGGCAGGAGACTCGCTTGAGCCCAGGGGTTGGAGGTTGCTGTGAGCTGTGATGCCATGGCTCTCTACCCAGGGGGACAGCTTGAGGCTCTGTC